AAAAGTCCAGTCTATAAAAACTAATTTCGGATGGCGAAACGAGGGATTTGATTTATCTAAAATTGGGAGGTTTGATTAACAACTACGAAAATATTAGTCTTAAAAAGAAGCACAACATGCAAAGGTTGATCAAGACATTAAACAAATGATTCAACAAAAAGGTGACATAGCATTCATGTCACAATTATCTAAAATCAATAAAAGATTTTATATAACTGTCACAGTATCAACTATCGAGTCAGACGGCCTCCCAAGAGTACACACCGGTCAACGTGCTATCGATACGATATCATTTATGTTAGACGTCATGAATCCTAGCACAACACAGTGTTACCATCCTACACCGTAGGAGTATAGCATTTGTCAGATACTAAAGTTATTTATAGCCTTCTCCTATTACCTCAGTTTTTGAAAGTCAATACATTTTTATACACAAAATCAGTTGTCAATTAATTTTAATGTAATCCTCAAATGAAATATTAAGCACCTGAAACAAATAATAGACTATAATGCTAATAAGACACCTTTGTGCTTTCACATCGGCTTTGGTCTTAATTTCCCATTACACCCCAAACTAAGGCGTTTAGCCCATCATCGCTCRGTTTCTTCTCTCGAATGATGTAAAGACTGAAAAATAAAYGACTGGTACGGAAAAGTAAATTGCAAAAAGTAAATTGCGAGAAATTAAAATGCTGGAATTTAAAGTACGAGAAATTAAATTACAGAAATGTWAATGRCTGAAAAATAAAGTACTGGAAAGTAAATTACAGAAATATAAATGACTAAAAGTAAATTACTGGAAATTAAAATGCAGAAATATAAAAGACTGAAAAGTAAAGACTGAAAGTAAAAGACTGAAATAAAACTACTAAGAGATAAATGCTAATAATTAAAGTTATTCTAAGACAATGACATAAAGTAAAAGACTAGACATAAAGTAGACACTTGATGACTAAGAGGTGACAATTGAAAGCATGAAAGGAAGAGAAGACTTGTRGAAACTTACACTCCAAGCTACGAAACTTGCAAGACAAGTTTCATTACTAAAAGCGTAAAGTTACTTGCAAATACTTTGAAAATAGATTATTTAGTCTACGACAATTAATCGAGAGCCACAAGGGATGAAATCCAATGTAAAGCAACAAAATTCGATTAATTGTGACTTGTAACGAAAGTCAGAAAGCGTTTGTAACTTGAAAGTAAGAAAAGAAATGAGATGAAGATTAAATACGAGCACTTGAATTAAAACTTGAGAATGTAACTGCATCTTCACTTCACAAAAAYCGGTTCTTGGTTGGAAGCAAGAAAACCAAAAGCAATAAAACTAAAAGCAATAATATAGAGAGTTATTGTTTCTAACTCAAAGATTGAGTGTAAAAATTGTTTTTAAAACCAAGCCTTAAGCACTTATTTATATGGAAAGAAAGCTTGCACAAGGAGGCTAGCTAATGMGACAAAAGGGTCTTAAAAAACGGGCTTTGACCAGGCCCAAGGMCTTAGATCCACCAGCTTCAAGGGAGCAGCCCAAGGAAATTCAGCCCAGACAAAAGGTGCTGCTCACTGACCGCTGCTATAGAATTCTGCCAACATGCTCCTACAGGACTGCTGCAGGACTGCTGCAGGACTTGGCCAAAAATCATCAAAAATCTGTATAAACAGAGAATTAACATTAGATATGATATAATACTACTATTATATAAAGAAGACATAAAAAGACTCAATTACGACACTAATGGGAAAATAAAACAAGTGAAAATGGTTAAGAAAATGATGTAATAAGGTTAATAAATTAACACTTATCACACCCCCAAACTTGAATTGTTGTTTGTCCCCAAACAACAGAAAWTGACAAATTAAAAGACTCAAATTTCTCATAAACTAAAAAAAGTTGAGCATACATATTCAATAGCCAAAGTATGCATGCTTTTGAAATTTTAGAATGAAGTGTTCTACTCCTGACTTGATGCTTGATATCCATAGCCCTTCACAAACCTAGTTCCCCCAAACTTAAGTCTTTCATAATTCCAAACCATAAGCTAGCCTACATTTCTATTGCTATACTAGATTCAACAGAKAATTTGGGACTTTGAATTGGGTTTTACATTTGGCTTTTTCTTTTCAATGCATGTCTTTTACCTCATCTCACTATTTCATTCCATAGCACAATTTTACTGCTATGCATCTCATATTGAGGTATGTTTGGACACTTTGGTCCTTTTCAAACATTTTTTGTATTTTGACACTCTTTTGTATGCACAAGACATGGAACTATGTTCCTTTGTTTGTCTTTTTATCTTAGTGCATATGTTTCATGAACTCTATAGTATTTGGTGTTTTTAGAATCCTCCCCCAAACTTAAGGGAAACAATGTCCTCATTGTGATTGTATCAAGGCTACAAATTGGCCAAATTGAAATGAAAGCCCAATTAAATCAATGTAAAGCTTTGGAAATGGTTGGCTAGTTCTAGAGGCTCAACTAAAAACAAAGATGGGTAAGCGTTGGATTATTGTGGCTATGACATCAATTCAAGCATTTGTACAACTTCATTATTTATTCTATTTTTGGTGCATAGATGGCCAAAATAATATATGCTACTAAAATCAGTGCCCAAAATTCTAGATTGAAAGAAAAATGCAAAGATGATTAGTCACAAATGTTGTGACTTGATCATTTTAAAAATAAAATGACTCAAAGCTAAGCACTATTGAAATAGAAAAGCAAAGATAATCAAGCATAAGCATGGTATGATCATCTTAAATGAAAAGGACACAAAAACATATAAGAGAGGGACTGTCTCTTATGATCACAACAATACCGACATCGACATATTTTAAAACAACAAATAAAGAAACACAAGTTAAACATAAAAACACAGAGTATGGTAAGAAGGCAGAACCTGTCCTACTCAGATTGAGTAGGAGAGTTGGAATGTTGTTGTAAGACTGAGGTTGAGATATCTGATAGTGGAAGCAACTTGTTAGAATATTTCTCTCTCCACTTATGCTTCAATCCTTTCCTCTGTATGTCCTTTACTTCTTTCTCATGAGTCAGAGATTTAATGGAACAAATATGGGAGCATTCGTCACTCTCATCAGGGTACCGAAGGGAATTAAAAACATTAAAAGTCATTTGTCGATCTTGGACTCTCATGGTTAACTCTCCCTTCTGTATATCTATCAAAGTTCTTCCAGTAGCTAGGAAAGGTCTTCCTAAGATAWTGGGAATRTCTTTGTCAGCTTCAAAGTCTAGGATGATAAAATCAGCTGGAAAAATAAACTTATCAACCTGAACTAAGACATCCTCAATTTTTCCTTTAGGATAGGCTATGGACTTATCAGCTAATTGTAGAGTCACAGTGGTGGGTCTAGCTTCACCTATGCCTAGGGTATTGAAGATAGATAAAGGCATGAGGTTTATACTAGCACCTAAGTCACATAGGGCTTTTCCTATTTCTTTTCCTTCAATTGAACAAGGGATTGTAAAGCTTCCAGGATCTTTCA